GGGTATACAACTGTTCATAGTGTTTTGTTATAATCCTTTTCCTTTCTGTAATTTCAGTAATGATGTCCTTTCTCTCATTCTGGATTTTGGTAATTTGATTCTTCCCTCTTTTTGTTGTTTTTTATAGTATACATAAGGTCTATTTATTTTGTTAATCCTCTCAAAGGACAGACATTTGGTTTTGTTGATTTTTCTATCGTTTATCTATATTCCATTTAATTAATTTCATCTACAGTTTATGATTTCTTTCCTTGGCTTGCTTCATGTTTAATTTTATCCCTTTCATGTGTCAAGGTGATGGTTAGGATACTGACTCTCTTCCTTGTTTTCTATCATAGGCATTTACAGCTATTTATTCTCATTTCACTGTAGTTGGGAAACACATTTTACTATTTCACTCTTTAGAAACATATCACACCTTGTATCAGCATATGATCTATCTTGGAAAAATGTTCCATGAGTATTTAAGAAGAATGTTATTCTGCTGTTGTTGAATGGAATGTTCTATGGGTACCTGCTAGTTTTAGTTGATTTATAGTATTATTCAGATCTTGTATATAATTCCTCATTTTTACCAAAGGTTACATCCACTTCTAAAAATAGAATATTGAAGTCTCCAACTGTTATTGTTGAATTGATTATTTCTCTCTTCAATTCTGTAAGGTTTTGTTTCATGCATTTTGAGTCTCTGTTGTTAGGTGCATATATGTTTATAATTGCTATGTCACCTAAGGGATTGACTCTTTTATCATTATAAATATTATTGGTTTTCTTTTAAAGTCTATTTTGTCTGATTATTATAGATACTCCAGCTTTCTATGATTGCTGTTTGAATGGTATGTCTTTTTCCATCCTTTTACTTTCACCCTATTTGTACATTTAATTGTAGAATGTGTCTCTTATAGATGGCATATACTTGTCTATATCCAGAAATTATCTAGCTTGAAAATCTGTGACATTTGATTGGATTTTTAAACCATTTTTTATTCTATTTTTCTTCTTAATTTTGTAAACCATTTGATTTTAATGATGTTACTGATACAGTTCGATTTCTGTCTGCCATTTTCCTTTTTATGGAAAAGGGAAATATTTTCCTTTTTATAGAAAAGGGAAATATTTACTGAACACAAAGGAAAACAGTATCAGAAGAATAGAGGTATAAAAAAGACATGTCATGGCCAAATTTTTATTACCTGTAATGCTATTTTTACTGTATTATTTGAGCTTTTTTCTTAATAGTTGCTCTGGGATTTACCATGTATACCTTAACATATCATAATCTACCAACAGATTTAATTTACCACAGATACTAACTTAATTCTAGTGTGATATAGCAAAATTGCTCCTGTGTAAGGTTATTTTCTTTTCCTCTCTTTTTTGAGATAATATTGTTACACATAATATAATATACATTATGTAATATATAGTAAATACACATGTATGTGTTTGATATGTGAACCCCAATCATTTTAAATAAAAAGGATTATTATTAAGTATTATAAAAAAGTTCAATTATGGCTTATCAGTACAATTGTAACTTTATGATAAATAGGTAATATTCTTTGGTCAAATGATGCATAAATACCTGTATCTATTAATTTCATCTTTATAAGTAGCTTCATGTTGACACCCACTTTCTTGATAGTCAGTGGTATTTTCCAGATACATTTTGCCAGGCCATCTGGGAATACATAAACACCAATATCCCTTATTTTCTTCTTCTGTCAAACAGTTGCACCCATTTGCACACATCTGTAAAACATAAGAAATAAGAATTTTTAAAATATCCCACATTACAATATACAATTTTAAAGTTCATATTTCATGATTTCTTTTATTTCTTAAATTCATGTGTTCATTTACCAAAAGTAAAATAAATTCAGGTTTTATTTGTGTCACAACCATTTTCAACAATCATATTTAGTTCATACTCAAATAATGACAGAAATATATAACAAAGTTAAATACATCAACATTGATTATACAATAGTTTTTGAAATATTTTTAAAATTTTATTTTAATCAAATTTTTATAGACTGCTTGAATGTTAACTGACATGATAGAAATACATTAAATTGAGAATCAAATTCATGAAAAGCCTATTTCCTGTATCACTAAGCCTATTTCCTGTATCACTGATATGATAGAAATACATTAAATTGAGAATCAAATTCATGAAAAGCCTATTTCCTGTATCACTAAGTATAGTTCCTCCTTGGGTGAATTCTTTGAGTCCACCATGAGCTAACATTCTACTGTATCCCTTATTAAAAATGATTCAAATTAAATCCTTAACACATGCTTAATTTATATTTGCTCACAAGTCATATTTTTACCTTTTTAAAAAGAATTATCATTTTAACTGTTTGGGGGTCTTCCACAAATATGCTCAATGGATTACCTGATAGAATCAATTGAACTCTGTCACCAGATAAGAGCTCCTCTTATGAAAGCCTAAACTCTGGTGTATTTTTTTCTTAGCTCTAAGAAGTGAATTCAAAACAGCCTTAGACCTTTGATAATCTTTTTTTTTTATATTTTCCTCTTAATACTTTCATGTTTTCCTTACAATTTTTGTTTATTAATACCCAATAAGTTATTTCCCATCAGTGGCAACAATTAGGAATTTGGTTTCATGGTCTGATCCTTTCATGATAAATTAACAATTTAGAGAGATCTAATCTCTGTTGGGTAAGAATCAACTGAGAATCTATTTTTTCATTTTTCTATTTGGAGCTCAAGTCAATTAAGAATTTCAAGTCCACTAGGAAGGAGAACAGTTCTTTGACCTGGACAAATGAGTTTTTTTTCTCAAATGTTATTTACCTTAACCATGGCTAAAATGTTATAATTGAATCTATAAACTTTCTCTGTGTCTGTATGTCTATGTATTTGTACTTCAGAAAAATCATCCTTTACTATAAGAGATGGAATCATTTCCTACAGGCAGAGGGTATTGTAGAGTTTCTTAAAGAAGCACTATTATAATTGGCTTTAAAGATAAATTGAGCCCTTATATCAGAAACAATGAATAGAATTTTATGACACTTTTATTAGTCTCTCTCCAAATATATAGATTAAAATATTTTTGTATGTACATATACGTATATATTTTATTAGTTTTGTTTTCTGAAATATGTAATTGTATTGTACTTCATCCTCAATTACTTTAGTGTCTGTTTCTTATGAAAGTAAGGAAATTATTTAATTACTTCAGTAAAATTATCAAATTAGGAAGTTAACTTTGATGTAATACTATATTTTATAACCAATAAAGTTTATTCATAATTTTTCAATTGTTCTACTATACTACATAAAGAATCAAAAAATACAAATTCTCCACCTTCAACAGAATGGAAAATATAAAACACCAAAACCCCAAATTACCCGTAAGTAGAATCTATATAAACACCAGTGATTAGTGGCTTTGTTTTTTCTCCTTGTGGTTCTATACTGTTTTGTAAAGGTTATACTGGAAAAAAATTTATTATCTCATTGATCTTGAAAGTCCTCTAAGTTGATTTAATTATGAAAACAATATAATTAGTCATATTCTAAAACCTCATTCTACTTGTGTTCTATATACACACATAGACACAGTAGTTTTTCTTAACTTCTTGGTATAAGTTCTAAATTTTTAAATATATTATTATTGTACTACAGCATTCATAGTCCCATTTAACTAACTATGTAGACGGTCTGCTCATAGGGAGGAAATTACGTAGGTTTTCAAAAAAGTTGGAGACCAGGCTGCACTGCCCAGTGGGGTCTCTCAGGTGACGGCCGTTCTGTATGGTCACCACCTTCTTGTCACTTAGACTTGGACTTGGATCTCTGGCAGCAGCTCTTGCATTTGCTGCCCCCCCCACCCCCCGCAGCACCTGCTCTATCTTTCCTGTTTGGTCATGTTGCTTGTTTCACCATCTAGTCAGGAGTATGTGTGTTGACTCCATTTGGCCCATGCAAAGGGTGACAAAGATCAATGTTTCCCAGATATTGGATAAACCCACAGTTTTTATTTCTATATTTTCAGTATAGTCTGGGATGATTCAACAAAACACAAAGAAAAATATTAGACACAGTTAACTACACTCAAAGCCTATAAACTGTGAACATTCATGTATGCTTAATTTTTTATTTCTTCAGGAAAACATAAAAACATGCATAATTTTCTATTTTATGATTAAGAAAAAAAGCCATACACTAAAGAGTCATTGTACTTTTAGTTATTATAAATCTAGGTCACTAAATAATTCAAAAATAAAATATTGAAAAATAATGTTTTAACAAGAATAACAGTGCAGAAATGAGACTATAGTAGACTATTATTTCCCATGATGATATACTTTCCTTTTTTGCTTTATTTTCAAAATAACTATTACTGTGATTTAAGAAAATCTGAATAACTAAAAGAAAATTGGTAAATAAAGGATTTTCCTTAAAATAAGAAATCAAAAACCAAACCATCCTTTATCTAACTGTTGTGATATGAACACATAAATTATACTTAAAGCTTTAAGACTCATTATATGTTGAAGGTGGTTTATTCATCTTTACAGCCATTATTTACTATATCTACAAAGCAATGCTGCACCAAGAATTACTTAATTTGGTATTTCAACAGGGTTTCTTGTCTGTTCATATAGTCTAGTATTCTACCAGAATTTAAGTTTTCTAAAATTAAATTCAGAGATAAGAAGAGGTATCTTGTAAGACAGCAAATGTATCAGTGGATATATAAAAAGTTGAATCTACCTTGCACATTCAGGGTAAAGATTTCTCAATATTTGAATCTATAGAGAATAAAGGAATCTACTTAAGGAATCCAATAATGGGGATGATATTTTATTCTTGCGATTAAAAATGTTTGTTTGATGAAGGAATGTAATAACATTACAAATCTGGGCAGTGAATAATTTTTTCTTCCCAAGAACAATAGAGATAAAATAAAACATCTGGGATTCCTTATTAATAATGACATATGTATATAACACAATATGATTGCACAAAATTAATTCTGCTGGATACAAATTAAGCAACATGAAGAATATTTACAGCATACTTCTGAAAAGATATTTTGCATATGTAAGTAAACAATTCTAGTTAAACCTATCATTTCATGAAATAACATATTTTCTATAAATTATATTTTAATTGCCATATTAGTAAAAATCACTTTTTAGGAAAACTGCTCTGAAGCCTAATATACATATATTTTTCAACTTTGTTAATTAAATAGGCTTGTGAGGAGACTTCAGAGATACGAATGAGTGACTTCATCATGATAAGTAGAAACCTAGATTCTTAGAAAAGTATTAGTCAAAGTCAAAATTGCAACAGACAAAGTTAAATAGGCAAGAAATACTTTATTCAAGACTACTGCAATGGAGGAGAGAGATGGAACTCAACTTTACTGAAATAAAAGATGGGAGGGATTTTAAGAGACAGCGTGAAGTGACGGAAAAGTGCTGAAGGAAATCAAGGGAGGAATGGATCAATGAGATGTGTAACCACATCAAGGTCTTGCTGAATTTTTCCCGAACTCTGTGAGCAGGACTTTCATCAGGCAAATCAGCAGGCTCATTGACGTCCACTGAAGCTCGGCTCCCTCACTTAGAAAAGGACCAGAAGACAGAGATGCCACCTCCTTCCATGCGTTATCTCAAAGGGTAGTTCCCCGGTCCTTGGGAGAGACAGTTCCTGGGTCCCAAAAATGGCAAGACAGGGAGAGGAAATTTGCTTATATTTCAAAAGGGCGGAGAGAGAATTTATAATTGCAAATTTTCTAAGGTAAATGCTGTATGAAAAAGGAAGTCAGGGGACTAGAGTCAAGAAATCTATCTAAATTTAGTCAAGGTGAGGAGAACAATCAAGAATGTTTTGGTCATTTTCTTGCCTAATAAAAATATATTAGATTAATTAAAGTCCAATTTATACTGGTTTGGATCTAGGAAAAAATGCTGAAATAGGTTAGATTTGCTAAAGATCTTTTATATGCCAACTTTTAGTATAGGTTAAATTTGCTAAAGATCTTTTACATTCCAACTTTCAGTATCCTTCTGTCCCTTTTGTGTTGTTTTGAAAGCATCCTCTGTCCCCAGTAACTCATAATAATATATAATCTCATCAACTTTTTGTAGCAGGAATAGAAAAAAAGAAAAACTCATTTAGATTTATGTGCTTTCCTTCCATAAATGTTTGCATTAAACAAGGACCTGAAGAGAGGACACTTCTTAACACACACACACACACAAAATGAAATAATACTTGTGAATTTCAGTCCTTGATGGTGAGAACTGAAATGAACCTAACTTCAAGTCCTATGTTAAAAAAATACTCAGAAAAAGCAAAAATACTTTACTCTTTGTTCCATGAAATATTTATTCTTAGAAGGTAAGACGGTAAACTAAGTTATTTACCAAAACTAACAGTTTGCACATCTAACTCACTCTAAGATTCTCATCACATTGTCATTGTGTCCACCAGCACAAAGCTTTATTCACAAGCTCTGACCAGTCCTTGCAGTTTCCCACCCCACTACCACCAACAACCAAGCCTCTAAAGCATATCAATATTTTTCCATATTTTTTCCCTCCTGAGACACTAGTGAGATTCTATTAAGATGTTGTCTTCCCCATTGCAGTAAATCCAGAAGAATTAGCTTTTCTTGATTAACAGAAATGGTGGCTTTTTGTAGGGTCAACAATGAACAAACACAAAATTTTGTAAAGATTCACTTAAAATGCCCTCGCTACCAAAGCTCAGGACTCTAATCGGCTGCCAATGGTGCGCTACTTTGAGCCCACTGGATATTCTTCTCTACAACGGTGACCGTGGCATAGATAGAGTATCAGGTCTGAACTCCAATTTCTTCTCATCAAGTTCTGAATGTTAACTTATTTTGTCTTTTAAGAATAAGAAAACACTTCAGGCATCCTTCGATTATGTGATCCAATTTGAGCTACAGAGAGAGGAAATCTCTATCACCATCACTTCCTCCAGTGAATTTGTAAGAGGATGTTCTCTGGAGAGGACAAACACGGGTCCCCTAACTTCAGCATCCAGATGACTTAAATGAATGATGAGTTCAGACAGTCATATCAGCCTGCGTGGCTGGGACAAAATTTTCCTTGAGTCACCTTTTCAAAATCTTGCAAACACTTGTGTCAGGTCCTTGGCTGGATGATGGCTCATGCTTGGCCAGGTTCTAGAGATGTGATATTGCACGAGTACCTAGGTAAGTTTCCATGTGGTCCCCTCAGTCTCGCAGGCTTCAACATCACACAGTGATCCCTCCATGTTTTATGCTGTGTATGTATCTCTTTAGTTATGATTTCTCAAAGGACAATGTGAAATTTCAGTGGCCATTCTGAAAAAGTTTTGACATAAATGAGATTGTACACTTGACAGATGCATTAGAACAAATAGAGAAAAACTTCCATGAGATGAGTTTCACCTGGGAGTCTAATAGAGAGATTACTTATTTAATGCACAAGAATCCCTCTTTCATTCATACTTCTAGGATTAATAAGCACAAGATTTTAATTATATGGCTGTATGGAATTGTCAGGATGTGAGTTATTGTTTAAGCTGTCCACAATACTAAGTTGTTTGTGTGTGTGTGTGAGAATTAGTTTTTCTGCATATACACTCCATATTTTCTGCCTCTATACTCTTCACAGAGAGGAGATAATTAACCATTAGAAATCATGATTTTATATCTGCCTGAAGCTAGCTCCCCTTTACATCTTCAGTTTTGCTTTTTCCTTTCTTTTTGCTTGGTAAACTTCTTAAATTAATTGATCACAAATGATTTTTCTATCATTATATATACATTCTAGGACTATTGTTCAGATAAGTGGTCAAAAATACAAAGAAAAGGAAAATGATTAACTCTGCTTTATTTATGTTTCTCCTTTGAAATATTTAACAAAGCAGAAAATGTGTACCTGTGTATGGGGATGATATAATTAGTCTTTTAGATGAAAGGAAATTAGGCCCTTAAAGTTTTGGCATAAACTCAAAGTCTTGATTTTTCAAACACATAGATACACAGGCTTATTTACATTAAAAAGAGCTTAATTTTCCCAATAAATGACTCCTTAGGCAATTGAAATGATTTAATTTGACTTTTAAAGAACTATTGTGTAATTGTTTCCTCAAATTTTTTATGACTGTAAAAATACAACTTTGAAATTTTAATAATGGATATAATTTTTAAAGGGTTTAATATTGTGAATTCTTATTGAATCTACTACATTGATATAATAGAATTCTTTATTGATGATACTACAAATCATGAGGACTTAACATGATCGTGTAAATTGCAAACTCCAAATCTTTGTTCAACATCAAGACCTTACACTGATTATAAATTGAACTAATGAATTATCTTTGGGTACTTGAAATACATATATAAATATATATGTATATTAATTTGTAAATATAGTTTAAAGTGTATTATTATCATGAAAAATAAAGTAGCTACAAGTTATTGGATTGCTGTCTTTACATTTCCTGAAGAATATTACTTTATATAAAGTTAGTAATTATTTTACAAGAACATGGAGAATAGAAATACGCATGCAAAAGAATAATATTATTTGCTTGTTTGTTTCCTAGGAGAAGGTATACAATTAGTAAACTTAACATAATGTTCTTTAATATGCTGATAAACTTACAAATATCTTAAAGATAAAAATGTAATCACTATGTGAACAGTAATGTATCTGTGATTGACAAATACATACATTTAAAAGTATACTAAGGTATATTAAGTTTAATGCATATGTTTATGAATTAAAATATAGATTTACACATTTTATATATGGACATGCTTGAAATTTAAAAGAACTGAAGAATTTGAATTCTGTTTGTATTTGTAATGCCTCTTTAGATGGTTGTTTTTGAAGCAAACAGTAACTTGTTATATACTATATGAAGTTGGCTCAGTGTTCATGGATATATTCATAATGAAATGAAATTATGAATCATCACTGAAATTTTTATATGAATGATACAGGAAACATAAAGTTAAATTTTTCTATAAAATGATGAAGTAAGTTTGTGTCATACCAAAAATTGTTACAAATATTCTCTTAGCTAAATTTTTTGGATTCTACCACCTAGACTACCAGCGAGCTGCTCTACACTTTTTGGAAAATTCACGAATCATTTTGACAAAGAGTTCCTTATTTATTTAAAATTAAGATCCTAAAGTTTTTTTTTCTTATTGTTACTTATATGAAAATATTGCCCCCATTTGTAAAAAATGGGGATGAAATAGGAGAAATGAGATGCAGAAAACTATTTAGCTATATTTATAGTCTTGCCTTAGGCTTTGCAAATATTAATGGTAAGACTGCCCAGAGAACAGAAATCTCCCAAAGAAATGTCCTTTGGATTTAAATGTATTCGGAAGGACAATAGTTTTTTGTTTTTGTTTTTTTTATTTAGGTATTATTGATATACACTCTTTTGAAGGTTTCAAAAGAAAAACAATGTAGTTATTACATTCACCCTTATTATCCCCTCCCCATACCCTATTGCAGTCACTGCCCATCAGTGTAGTAAGATGACACAGAGTCCCTATTTGTCTTCTCTGAGCTACACTGTCTTCCCCATGAGCTACTGTGTCTTCTCCCTTCACACACATACTATGTGCAACAATCATGGTACCCCACAATCCCCTTCTCCCTCCTTTCCCTCCCTCACTCCCCCACTCTTCCCCTTTGGTATCCACTGGTCCTTTCTTGGAAGAAATTCAGATGGCCAACAGGCACATGAAAAGATGCTCCACGTCGCTAATTATCAGGGGAATGCAAATTAAAACCACAGTGAGATATATCACCTCACACCAGTAAGGATGGCCAACATAGAAAAGACTATAAACAACAAATGCTGGTGAAGCGAGGATGTGGAGAAAGGGGAACCCTCCAACACTGCTGGTGGGAATGTAAACTAGTTCAACCATTGTGGAAAGCAGTATGGAGGTTTCTCCAAAAACTAAAAATAGAAATACCATTTGACCCAGGAATTCCACTCTTAGGAATTTACCCTAAGAATGCAGCAGCCCAGTTTGAAAAAGACAGATGCACTCCTATGTTTATCGCAGCACTATTTACAATAGCCAAGAAATGGAAGCAACCTAAGTGTCCATCAGTAGATGAATGGATAAAGAAGATGTGGTACAGATACACAATGGAATATTATTCAGCCATAAGAAAGAAACAAATCCTACCATTTGCAACAACATGGATGGAGCTAGAGGGTATTATGCTCAGTGAATCAAGTCAGGCAAAGGAAGACAAATACCAAATGTTTTCCCTCATTTGTGGAGTATAACAATGAAGCAAAACTGAAGGAACAAAATAGCAGCAGACTCACAGACAATATTAGTTCCTTATGATCTCTAAACAAAAAGGTGTTATAATCAAAACTGTGTTTGATCAGTTTTAATCAGTCAGCAAATAATAGTATGAATAGAATTCAAAAATGACTAGAGATAAAAATCGTTGTTAAAACTCTTTATTACCTCCTTATATTATAAGAAGTAAAAAGATTTTCAAGTACAGTGTTGAGAACTTGTTCATGAAGTTATACTTAAGTTATGCACCTCTTGAACCTTGTATTTGCATCTTAACATTTCTAGCTTTTTTTTTCAAGTCAGATAATTATGTGATAAAGAGACATGTGAGAAATTACTATAGGAATTTGCCTTACCTCCATTGTTCCTTCACATGGGAACCAACATACATAATCATGGTCTTCAGATTTGTTCACATACACTACATCGTCAGTGCAGTTTGCATCAACAAAGAAGTAGGTATTAGACGTCACTTCACATTTTTCACCTTCAGATCCTTTCAAACAAATTAATGAAAAATTAAATAAAATTTCACAAACTTGAATTCACATTGAATTACTAAAGGTAGTTGTCAAACTCCTTGATAATATCAATTTGACACCACCAACCAAAAAGTAAGCATCTATATGTATAAACATTAAATTTGAATGAGACTTAAAATAGGCCCAACCCTCTCATTTTAAAAAGGAATGAGAAATAGAACAACAGAATAAGACAAAATTTCCAGGGATATGCATTACAAGAAAAAAATGAAGTGTCAAATAATTTCCAATTAATGTGTGTACAAATGAAATAATAAGTATAAACATGATACATTTCATAGAAAAAATAACTTGTATTTTTTATGTATTGTTGTTGCATAGGAAACCATTTCAAAAGATATTTGGAAAAAATACTTAAAATACTTATAATAGAAAGTTGGCCAGCACCTTATTCTAGTCTCCTAAGAAGGAAGAAGGAAGGGAATGTGTGTGCTTGTATGTGTATGCGTAGGTATAGATATATACATGCATATATATGTACAGATATAATTTAGCTATTTTACACTCTAAAGTTAGAAATAATATCTATGATAAATAAAAAATGAGATTGTGATGAAGCTCATTGGGGTTTTCCCAATGAACCACCAGCTGTAAACGTGCAACTATCTAATAGAGCTGACAGTCATCGAAGCCCATTTCACATGGCAAGCTTCCAGTAAACTCTCCTTTGGTTCTCACCATTCAGTATGATCATACAACATTTGGCAGAAAGATTCCAAATGAGAAAGAACAAACCATAATTCAAAGTCCTTACAGAAACTGAGACAATAATTGGAACAGAATAAAATTAAAACCAATCAAAACTATAATATTCTTAGAGTTACAAGAAGTTATTTTTATGTATATAAAAACAAATTGTCATGAAAATGTATAATTTAGATAATATAAAAGTGCTCTAGAAGATTATAATTATAATAAAACAAAAATATTCAATACTAGTTCTGAAATATATATAATTGGGGGAGTACATTAGAAAACAAAATAAAACAGAAATGTTAAACAGATAAGAAATAATGAGGAAATGAGAAGATCACCTTAGGAGATACAATACCAAATTATTAGACTCATGGTATAGAAAACACAAAACAGAAAATAGGACTTATTAGTGAAATAATACAGAGATTACCTAAAAATTGAAATTCACATGCTTCCAAATAAAAGAATTTATCAAGTGACTCATTCATGAATATGAATAAAATCATGGGAATGTAAATTGGCACAGCCACTATGGAAAACAGTATAGAGGTTTCTCAAAAAAATAAAAATAGAACTACTGTATGATCCAGCAATTCCACTTCTGGATGTGTGTGTGTGTGTGTGTGTGTGTGTGTGTGTGTGTGTACACTCATATAAAGGAATATTATTTAACCCTAAAAAAAGAAGGAAATCTCACCATTTGCAATAACATGTATGGATATCAAGGGCATTATGTTAAGTGAAATGAGTCAGACAAAGAAAGACAAATACAGTATAATCTCACACATGGAATTTAATAGGAAAAAATGAATTCATAGATACAGAGAACAGATTGGTGGTTGCTTGAAGCAGGGGGTAGGAGGTGGATGAAATGGGTCATGGTGTTCAAAAGGTACAAGCTCCCAGTTATAAATAAATAAGTCCTGAGGATGTAATGTACAGCATGGTGACTAGCTAATAATATTGTGTTGTCCATTAGAAGGTAGCTAAGAAAGTAAATCTTAGAATTCCTCATCACAAGAAAAAAAATTATAACTGTGTTAGATGGCTGTTAACTATACTTAGTGTGATGATTCTTTTTCAATATTTACAAATATAGAACCGTTATGTTATACAACTGAAACTAATATAATGTTATATAACAATTACATCTCAATTAAAACAAAAGAATAAAATCCCCCAAAGTCACAACATAATGAAATTTCATACAGTGGAACAAAAAACATAGAAAAAGGCTTCCAGAGAGAATCACAAGTTGAATATAAAGAATCAAAAGGTAGCCTGTGACATAAACAATTCTTTTCTTTTCCTGTTATCATAGGTCTCATGCATTGTCTCATCAATACTGTGAGCATTCCATAATCATTTCTACGTCTATGCTCATTCTTTTGCTCAAATAACCAGTGATGCCATCTGACATATGTATTACTATGTGGATGGGAAACGTGTGATGAGAAAGCTATCAAACAGTAGATACATTTATAAAATTGATGGATATTGCAAAATCGCCATGCTTGGATGTTATCCTGATTTTACACTTCACCACCAATGATAAAATGACCAAATTATTAAACTCCTATTTTTTCCAGACATACAGGAGAAAAATTACGTATTTATGGTGTTCTTAAAATTTGCTTTGCTCTCATTATGAGTAAAGATGACCATTTTTGCATATATTTAGGAATAATTTCTTTTGCCCTTGGCTTCTATGATGCCTTTCACAGGCAGATATTTTTGTTTTTCATGTAATCAAATGATCAGCCTTTTGCCTCGGGCGTCTTAATTTTGATTGCTGCAAATAAAGAGCTTCCCTATCCAAATTTATAAAGTAACACTCCAATACTTTTTGATATTTATATTATTTCAATTTTTATATTTAAACCTTTTGTCAATATGAATTTAATTCAGAAAATGTTGTCTTCTTTCCCAGACTTCTTTCCCAAATGATTATCCAGTTGTTCATCAAATGTAAAATAGTTCCTATTAACAGTAATGATTGAGATGGCATTCTGTTATATACGCTAAATTTTCTCTGTGAATTGAATTTATTTTGGACTTTTCATTTTGCATATTTTTTTACTATTGAAGCAACAATACTATAATTTTCAATATTGAAGCCATATAATATGCTTTAATATTTGTCAGAACTAAATTTCTACCCCACCTATCCAAACAATGAACTTTTTGATCATACTTGGCTTATTTGTTTATTTAGTTTTCCATGTGGACTTTAACAATTAAACATAAAAGCACTGCTGTTATTTTAATTACATGAAACACATTAAATAATTAAATATATGAAATTATATTGATATTTGAAATCTCTAGTGCATTAAGTCTCCCTTGAACAGCATGGTAAATCTTAAGATTTTTGAAGTTTTTTCAGAATTTGGGTGTTTGTAATTATGCTGTAGTGGTATTTAAAGTTTTCTCAATTTAGAAGTAACATGTTTTTGTTAATTTTAGTCCTACTCATTTGACTATTTTATCTGTCATTTATATGAAATTTTTTTTCATTATATCATTTAATTAGCTCTTATTTCTATTTAACATACTATCAATTAGAATTATCTTACTGTAAAAATGTTTTGAAACATTCTTATGTGATATAAGTGAAAAGCACTAAATAATATTTGGTTTTTAAAACTCAGATATGTTTTTTAAATCTTGAGTTAAGGCCCTAAATTCCTAAATGGATATAGACCTAAAGGTATTTAACAACAGACTTGAGAGTGGAGTAGTATGGCAAAATAAATACTTTTGATAAAGATTGCTTTGGAGATGCAGGATTTTCTATTCTCACAATAAGCATTATAAACCCACAGAAGTAATTTGAATAAATAGGTTATGATTAATGTTTTGTATATCTTCTATGACCAGAAAGTTCCACTACTTCATAAAGGAAAAAAAGAAAATTAAACATAAATACTGGTTTGCAATGTCAACTCACAAATGTAAAAATCATTATTCACTTTGAAAAAGAAGTTCACTGGTATATATTAAATGTTTTTAAATATGTATGTTTAATTCATTTAACTAAACTATAATCATCACGAACTTTAACCAAAGATATTCAAGAACTTTTTTTTTACTATGATACTATGATTTCATCTTTTCTTAAGCATGATTCATACCATCTTACTGCATTTCACAACTCATTATCCACTCTTGTCATATCTCCTTTTCTCAAACCTAATAATACATATAATGAACATAGATGATGACATTGAAAAGAAACAGTACATGTCAGCTCTTTCTCAAGTTGCATACTGTAGACCAATTGTCCTTGAAGGGGCTTCTTCTAATTAATTACCATCCCTTCTTTGTAGAGCAATCATACTGGCAAGAATTGATTGGGCGTGTAAGACACTTCATTTAGTTGGTAGAAAAATCTCTTAACTAAAATAATTTTACTTCTGGTAAAATTAATGCACCTCATGCAAATTTGCCAGCTTGATCATAATGTTCCTCTTCAATTATATTTTATGAGAAAAAAAGAAAATAAGCTCTTTTAACAGCAACAACCAGAAAAAATAAGAATTACATAAAAAAGGAAAAAAAGAATAAGAATTTTATTTACATACCTATCTTCCATTTATTCTAAATGTTTTTGTTTTGAAAACTTCCCTGAGAGAAGCTGCATTGCTGAATCACTGTATGGACATTTAAAAGGCCTTTGGGTAACTCGACTTCAATATGTATTGCCTATTGAGCTTTATCAACTGGCTTCTTTCACATGGATGGCCCAAATCATTTAGATTCTCAGATGTGGAGGTCTCATAGTTCTTACTTTAGTAATAATTAGCTATGTTCATTAAGGTGTGAATGTAGATTCACAAAGGGATAATGACTAAATACAATTTTATTACTTTGATGATATTTGTTCAAAGCTGATTTATACATGAGCAATTGCGATTTCATATTATCTCCATGTCCCATAGAACATATTTGTTACACTGATGTCACCCATGATACTAACTATACTTTCTCAGAGATGATTTACCTATGAGCAAGTTGATTTTCTATTACTCCTCCTATATTTCTAAAAAACATACTTGCATTTTTATTGTTATGAATGTTCCCTTTATCATTTATTTGTTCTCAAAGAATTTCAATGTTTAAAATTAAGTACAGTGACTCGAGCATTGGAGGAGCTGATTCCCTGTGGAGCTGAAAAAATCTATGTGTAACTTTTGACTCCCCCAGAATTTAACTATTAATAGCCTACTGATGCCTTATTGATAACATATTAACACAC